TTGTTTTCTGCCAGCCCATGTCGGATACACACTGACCCCGGTCCTGCTGGTTCAAGACGCCTGGACGACATGTGGTGGTGTGCTGCGCTGGCTACAGCCGTACTCGCTTTCTCCCATTCCGACCCTACACCAATAAATCGACGATCATCTCCTGTTGCCAAGGCATTAAGTAGCTATGATCCACACCGATGAAATGATACATGGTGTGGCCATCTTTTTCTGGCGCACACAAACGCGTTATGTGAACGAGCTTCTCAAAACACATGCACTCAAGCATGCTTGTTCGTGTGTATCTGTGCCCTCGCCACACCCTTATCATATGCTTGTGTGAATGTGCGTGTGTGAGGGTGTGTCAAAGATGTCGGGGAACACATGAGACAGCCTCGCTCGGGGCGATGTGTGGCCCGAACAATCGGATGACTGCGGTCATGTTGAACGATGTCAAGTCGACTGAGCGCGTGGGAAATGAAGTGACGCAAAGACAAAAAAATGGGAATGGACGAAAGAAGAAAAGGTCGGAGAAGTGGAAACCTGGTTGCTATGCCGGCCGGATTGATAGCCTCTGCACCCCCTTCACCATCCGTCGAGTATCTTCTGCTTTGTTCTTCCTTTCGCCGCTTACCAATTCACCAATTCGCCCTCTGATCGCGTCGACACTGACTTTGCCGACGGTGTGATCAGCTCCTTCCGTAGCAGTTAACGCGAAAGGCCAATTTTGTGGATCAAGATCGCATTCTTAGATTCCATCTGCTGCTTCAACCTCGCCTCACGTCTCTTCTGCTCATTTAGGCACCCGTCGATTCATGCACGTATGTACTTGCATTTGCCACAAATCGGTACCAATAGAGAGTTCCACTGTCTTCTGACATTAAACCCAACACACTACTTACTTGTGATGCTAGTAGTAGCTTCGAATATGTCAAAAAAAAGTGACTACCGTTTAGGTCCTTTAAATAACTAACATATTTTTCGTCCCCGAGACTCAAATGGCCAAAGGAAGCTCAGTTAACAGAGAATTACCACATAAAAAGACATAAACGGAGGCATTTATGGCGGAAGTAAGCAACACTAGTTAACCATTAAAAAAGAACGGACATACAAACAACTACTACAAAGCAAATAGAAGTGATGCTGTATGCATCCTCTTACAAAAAGGTTGAAATTAGTCACCCCTTGGGTGGGAATTGGGTAAACTGAAGGACTGAACTCCCGTGCTTTTCCTGCTAGGCCTATCTGCTTTTAGGTCAGTCATGTACTGGCGGTTTAGAGTTTGTGTGAGCATGTTTTGAGGCTAACATTAATCCATGAATAAGATGTTAGTCACCTTTGGTCGAATTAATCCCAAAATGATATGAATGGGCTTCACTTAGTCTTGCCTGACAACAATGTTACTCATAATTTAGCACCTCGCCTGAGCCTTATCAGCACCCCTAACCGGAAAGATTATATTGTATTGTGTAAGAAAGTATAGTATAGCATGTTATAGTATAAAGTAATATAGTATAGTTTAAGAGAGCATAGTGAGTATATTATAGTATTGCAGAATATATAGCCTAATATAGTACATTATAGTATTTTATTTCATAAAAAAATATAGTGTAGGCAATAGTTTAGTTTATTTGGTGTCAGTATATCTTGAAGTTATCGGTTATTCTTAAATAATAACTCAGTCCCCCTTGGCCATTTTAGGTGTGTTTATGATTCATAGGGGGCTTACTCCCACAAGTTTGATTTAACCTTATGTACTTGCATATGCGGCAAATCTGTACCAATAGAGAGTTCCATTGCCTTCTGACATTCAACCCAACACACTACTTACTTGAGATGCCAGTAGTAGCTTCGAATATGTCAAAAAAGAATGACTACCGTTTAGGTATGTCAATTTCCACCTGTGTCTGGTACCAAAAATCTAGCCAGTGGTGCATTCAAAGGACACTTGACCTCAAGAGGTTAACATCAACAAGTGAGACTACCAGTAGATCATTTATGCATAAAGTGTATTCACCCTATTCCGTTGAAAGTGACAATGGACTAATAGTTGAATTTTCCCAAATTGCTATGAATAGACTTTTGCTTTCATTACATTCCCTCTCACCGTAAGTCGAACGAGGATTTTATTGTAGTCGTTTATGCTGCCGTAAAAGACATCGCCAGATCGTGAAACGCCCGAGTAGTTTAGACGAGCAAATGCCTGACAGATGACGGACGAAATGTTGGCACAAATTAAGCGTGATCGCACGACGTTGCGCCGAGAAATACATCAGCGTTGTGCTCAAAAACACCTTTTTGTAGGAAGAAGTCACGACGCTATGGACTCCAGGACCGTCCGTGATGGACGGATCGCTGCTTGAGCAGTTGGCGGAAGGATTGTTGGCATATTCATTTCAATGATCGTATTAAGCCGTGATTACCTATTTTATGGAATGGCTGCTTGATCTGCTTAAAAATTGATAGAATATTTGGTTGAATGTTGGATAGAATGACTGGCATTCTTTGAAAGTCTGATGCCGGCTTAAATGAGTGTTGGATTGTGTCATGACATTCACTTCGAGGCAACAGTCGGCAGGAGCGAATCCGTGAAATGGTCTCATCGGAAACCGAACAAGGATTGCCACGGAGTCAAGTCAATTCTATTGTTAAACCAAGAGAACAGATTTGTCATATTGGTTGAGTATAGTTTTTGCATTATTTCATAAAGTATGCATTCTTATTCTGAGTAGCTGTGCCACGGCGGTACAGACGAAAGCTTAGCGTAAGTCGTAGAACTCGTTGGCTCCACTTCACGATGGCCAATCCTACTTCACTTTCCGATGACATCTTCACACCAAATTATGCCTCGAAATGGACTACCACATCACAATAAATGATTATGGAATTGTGCAAAACCCTATTTTTCTCCATATCTTTGTGAGCTGGACTGTCCAACTGGATAATTGCGAGAAGCTACATTAGATTGGTTTCGTCAATGGTAGTTGAAATATAAACTAGAATATTTCCAGAAGTCCTCATTACGTTTAGGTCTATGAATGCATACACGTCAGACACAAGAAATGTCATCATCAGCCTCACGGCCATAACAAGTAAAGCAGATCA